AGGAGGAGGAATACACTCAACATCCAAAAAATGAGAAAAAGGGGTGCTCTCCCTAAACAAATCAAGAACTTCTGGATGATCTCCAAGTCCTTCGCCCATCAGATTCTGGAACTCCCCCAAAGAAGATTTCAGGGTTAACTTCATTCCAGGTATTTTATCAATATCAATGGTGCAAGCCAACGCTGGAACCTAGAATTAAAATCAAGAACTAATCAAAAAATAGATTCGACTGCATTCGACTGTTAACCAATTACTGTAACATTATATTGATTATTTCCATGGTCGAATAACTTGTTCTGTTTCCGAATGTTTCAAAAAACAAACAAAATACTTTAAATGTTATATTTTAGTGTACATGCAATGCACCTTAATTTCCGAAGCATCCAGGAACGATTGACCCTCCACAGATGGAGTTACCTCAGCAGAAATCTGACACCAATCCCAAATATTTCAAAATAAAACAAAAATTAGTTAATTTTAAGTAAGAATTATTTGAAAATACCTGGTTTTCATTCTCCATCTCCTCCCTTTGTGTTTGGGTTAGAATTCTTCTTCTCTTGTACTCGAACCCGCTACTTGCTCCGGTGTTCTCCATGGCAAAGAGATGTGTGGTAGTTCTTGAAGGTATCCGACGACGGTAAGCAATGTAGAACGAAGAGGAGAAGAGTTTCGATTGATGAAGGCGTATCGTTTCCGAAGACTGGTCGGGGGATTAAGGAGGGGTTGGCGCTTCAAACGACGCCGTTTGGCCTTTCTAAAAATCATCGTGACGCTTCGAAGGCAACCTAATGGCTGGTCGTTAATTTTAATATTTCCGTTTAATTTTTGAAGTAACGGTAATAAACAGTGACGTTTTGTTTCTTGGTTGGAAGAGCCTTTCTGTCATTTCCTCTCATTTTACGCAAGTAGAGCGGACGCGCCTCACACGAATCTCTGTTAGATCTAGGAGGGCATTCTCATAAATTCCAACCTTTTTCTGCCCTTTTCCATAAATTCTTCGATCTTATCTTTCCTCTACCCTTTGTTGGCCGCAAGGTGACATTTTAATCATAAAAACCAATTAAAGTTTATAGTTTTGATTTTTCTATTCAATTAGGGTTAAATGATTAGTAATTGTAACTGTCTAGACTGAAAGTTATAGAGAAGTTGCATTGATTAAGGCGTAATCATTCTAGTAGTGTAATGCGGATGCCAACTAGCTTAGTTCATTACAGCCTTAGGGGATTCCCGCTACCCGGAATCAAACTCTGTCTAAATTATTTATCCTTTGTGGCTGTCTCAGCACCACAAAATATTACAGAGTACTCCCTATTAGTATAATTATACCATCTTTCGCAATGCAATCTAAGAATTTGGGTTACGATGATTTGTTTGTGCTGTGTCGAGTGGGCACTTAGTACATTTACATCAGCCGGAAATTTTGTGGCGGTGGTATTTTGGGATTATTTTGGGTAAGACTGGTCAACTCTTCACAATTGCCAAACACATGTGTTTTAGAACACTCCCTACTTGTTTATTTTCTTTCTTGCGGAAAAGGGTGTTAGAGAAGGAATGTGTTGATCGATTTTTGATTTTTCCGATACCCTTTAGTAAAATTAGGTTAAGACTGTGGATAAGGATGGATGGTGGAAATATTTTAAGAGTATGGATTATGGGTATTCTCAAAGCACATATTTTAAAGTAGTGTTTGCGGCATGGAGAATTTTCGTGATATCTGAAAAAATAGGCTAACTCTTAAGAATTAGGGAATCCTTGTGGACAAGGAAGAATCCAACCGCATTCATGCATAAAAGTTTACAGTTGAGGGTTCAGTTCATTCAGTTATGATGTAGCATCAGTAACCCTATGATGGAGAATTGTGCTTTCACCTCTTTCTGTGCTTCCACTTTGCACCTCGGTTATCAAGGCGCGATCTAGGCGTCATGGCTGTTGTTACCTCTCACCATTGTTGTTCGGCTCAACTGAAGAAGAGGCGGTGGCGTCCAACATTGCCTAAGCGTCCACGGTTACATGAAATTGTAAAAGCTTCATTTTATTCTGCATTTTTACAAGTGTTGCTTTTTTGTTTGCATTTTTTGATTTTCTAATTTTACACTTTGTTTTAATTAATATGCAGTTAGTTCTAGAAATGTTTATGTATATCCTTGCAATCTAATTTTTTTAATGTGTACTTTCCTTAATTAAGTGTTTTACCCTGTGATAATGAGGGAAATGAGAGCCTTATAGATGATTGCTTTCTTGATGATTATTGAGACCGATGTTTAATTCGTTTCAAATGGATTCTAAAGTATGGTAAATTTGAAGTTTAAAGTTTATGAATTAGAATATATTATATGATATATTTATGTTAATGTTATTATATTTAATTATTTATTATTCATGACTTTTCGCCTAGGCATCCTGGGGCCCAGCTAGCCCTGCGCCTCACCCCTCTCCTTAGCGGTCTAGCGTTGTGGTAACCTTGTCTTGCACCTACTATATTTTCTCCCTCCCTAGTAAAACTATGATGACTAAGACATGTTTTTTCCTGTTGCAATGAAATTTAGGAATGGGGATTGGATTTCTCCTCAAATCTTTCCAATGTCAGAAGTTTAGGTATATTAGAAACTGAAGGGGAAGGAAAAAGTTTCCCATTAGATATCCAAAAAGTTTCACTTTTGCACCCCTTTCCTTCAAGTGCTCTCGTTCAAATGCATTAGTTTATTTTGGATAAAGGTAAGCTTTTATGGATGATGATATATAAAAACAGAGAAGGGGCTTGTAGGAGAAAAATTATTTTTAAGGGGAAAAACATCCAATCTAAAGGTGGTGTGCGCAGTGGGCTTTTAGTCATCCTATCCAAACAAAATATATTATGTCTTGCTTATTTTTTATCCATACATCTGATCCTCTTTAGTTATTTATGTTTGTCATTTGATAGTTAGTTTTCTGTTACAGTTGTCTGGTTACTGTTAACAAATAAGACTGTTTCATGCGTCAATGTGGGACATGCTAGAAGCTTGTCTGCAGTTATTCGCATCATATGATTGTTTTCATTTGTCATTTTTGAACTTATTTCTTACAAAGTTGCAAATATCACCCAAGAAGCTTTGTGGAGACGAATCAAAACCACAGAATGTGAATATGTTATTGTTGTCCTTCCCAATCCCTTTCTTCCAAGTTTATCTGCTGCCTCATTTTCTTTTTAATTACATGGTATACACAAAAATCTTCCGTGTCCATCTGAAACAAGAATTGTTTTTATCTTCTCTTCTGTACTTATCAGATTTCAAGTGTCATTAAAAGAGTAACATTCAGAGTTGAATTTGAGGTTATTAGTGAAGTAACCAGAGTCCATAAGACTAATTAAGAAGAACCTCTTTAAGTATCCTGGGTGTACAACCTGTACGCTGTAGGATATGGTTTGCATATTGAATAACCATCCCAATTACATAACGAAATTCCTTAGCAATGAACTCTGGAGCTTGTTCAAGACATGAAAAACAATAAGGAACTAAGAATCTCTTTCGAAAATTAAAATGGTCGAATACTATGTGGGTACGGTTTTGTCTGGCATTAGTGTTAAACTTTAGGTTTTAAAAGTGCTATCCAATACTAGCTTTTAGCTATAGCATTTTCAAAGTTAATCATCAGCATTAAAAATTTATCCAAATCGCTAATTCTCAAACGAAGCCTCCATCTCACATTCATTCTGCGTTACCTAGTTGTAGTAGAGGCAAGTTTAATACTTGACTGCTGATATAGCTATCAAGCTTTGGCTGTCATCTTATGTGTGCTATGTCACCTTGTAGGATTACATTAATGTATGAATGTATGAGGCGTATATGCTGATGCGTTTTATTATCTACAGGGGTAGAATAATTCTAAGGTTTAATCTTTCTGTTATCCTATCGATCATATAATATTCTTTCTCCAAGAAAATTTACTTTTTACTTTTCGGTTTTCACAGTCCATCCTGGAGTTCTTTGGCAAGTTTATAGATTATATCAGTACAGATTTACAGTTTGTGATCGACAATATTTCTGAAGATTCATTGGCTGTTGGTGTGACATGGCATTTGGGTATTTTAAAATTTAATTTAATTACTGTTTTTCTTTGTCATATGCTTGTTTTGGAGCAAAATTTGATGGACTGCCTGAAGAAATTGAAATTGGAGCACATTTGTCCATTTCAGTCTAATAAGAAGTATGTCTTTTTGTCATCCATTTGTTTTCTTATGCTTTAATTGAATCTGTTGTAACAGAATGGAAGGGAAGGCCTTTTCCATTCAGCAAAGGATGCAGCTTTTATCAATTGAGGGTATTGAATGGCATTCGACAAATAATGTGAGTACCCTTTCTCATAAAATACAACTACCATGACAGATTTTTCCTTATTGTCAGCTTTACAATTCAAATTAATACTCTTTTGTGCCTAATTTCTCTGCTCCTTCATGATTTGAACTGTAAAATTATCTGTTTTTTCATTCATAATGTTACTAGCTATCCTCAAGCATAGTGTAGACCCCTTCTCATGAGGTCCAGATATGCCACATTATTAATTAAAAATTGAAGATTGCTCACTTGTTTATGCTATCCTCATGCAAGATCAGAATATTTAAAGAATTTGGAAGCCTAATCATGTGTTGTGCTACTTTAGGGTGATGGTATTGATATTTTTAAAGATAAACATCTAAGGGAGAGTGTTTTTTTGGTGAAACCGGGATGTGCCAAGTATCATGTTTTTCTATAGATGTTTTTATAGATGTTTCTGGTTGAACCATCTACTTTGTCCAATACCACTATTAACATTTTCCTAATCCCTTACAGTTTGATAGGACATGACTTCCAAAACTAAAATCATCGTATTGTAGGATTTGTAAAGAGTGTGCATTATTTGGTCCAGACCTGGACCGACCCGAAACTTGGTCAAAACCAGACTGGTCCCTTTTCGGTCCGGTCCTCGGTCCTCTAACTTTGCTTATTCGGGTTTCGATCCGACATGCTCCAGTCCACCGGGTTTTGGTTTGGACCGGTGGACTGGATAGATTTTTTATTTATTAAAAAATACAGAGTATATTTTTCTAAATAATTTCATAATATAGTTTTAAAGTTTTTTCTCATATTTAATGTTACATTTACTTTAAAATTAAAAGTTCCTTCAATGTTAATTTTTTGTTTTTTATCATAATTTTTTTATATAAAAAATAGTCCAATTTAAAATAAGAAATAAATTTTAAATTTCTAATGATATCTAAAGATATCAAATTGAAAAGTGTGAAAAAGTAAATATATTAATTTTAGTTTCACCCTTAAACTTTGTAAAGTTGAAATTTTTTGTGGGACAAATGGAGGATATATTTTATTTAAAGTATGTTAAATAAAATTTAAAACAATGGTCTTTGAAAACGTTTATTGTATGTTACACTTTAAAAATTAGCAGTGAGCTTCTCCATTGGCTTGAGTGGCCGGAAGACCCCCCCCCAAGATCTTGTGGGGTGCTCGCCTAGGTTCGATACTTCGCTTTCTAGCGTAGACATGCGTCATTAGGTTGAGAAAAAAATTAATATTCGTAATACATTTATGGAATTGGACACTTTAAAAAAATTAAAATTTGAAAAAAATTTAAAATTGACTTTATTCAGTCCGGTCTCAGACCGGTCCAGGTTTCACTGATCCGGTCCCGGGCCAGTCCTACCGGTCCTTGGTCTACGAAATGTCCCTTATTCGGTCTTGGTCAGTCCCGGTCTGGGTTTGGACCGATGCACACTCCTTTATTTGTAGTTTTACTATTTCTACTCACTATTGTTGCTAATTTTATGCAGTGGCATTTTAGAAAATTGAATAAACATCATTACTATACTAGGAACTGGCTAACTTCTTTCTGATGTTTACCACAAATGTTGTGTTTCTGAAACAGTTATGCGCGAGATAGTGTGGAACCTGCTTTTAAACCAGGAGATTCAGCTTTTGTAAGTTTAATTGATGCAACTTCCATATGATTTAATATCTCTGATCTTTCTTTTAAATACTCAGTAGTACATAATAATGTAGACCTATATCTTGACAACTACAAGAAATCACCTTTATGGTTCCTCAACTATGCTACGCATACCTGGTACCTGCCCCTCCCGAGTGTAGCTCTCCCGAAATGATTTTCTGAAAACCGTGACCTTGTGGGATTAGGCACTTTAAAGAGCGCTGGATGAGACTTATTATAAAATACTCCCTCCGTCCAAGTAAAAACTTTTCGTTTTGACATGGCACGGTTTTTAATGTAATGTTAAAATTCTTTTGACTTTACAAAAGTGCCCGTCATCAAAATACTCCAATCAGCCAATTCAGCCATTCTCTTCTATGCAGATCTGCCGCAGTCCACACCTTGACATCAATGCCCCTTCTCCTTCAGATCTGAAGCCGTCCCCTATCCATGGACACCACCGCCCCTTCTACTCTAAATCTGAAGCCGACCCTTCTACTCAGTCAATGCTGCCGCCCCTTCTCCTCCACATTGGGCACCATCCTTTTCCCTGCGGATCTGTTGCCACCCAGTTATTTGTTCCCTTTAGCCTACGTCTAACGAAGAAAGAGAAACAGAGGGTGGGAGTTCTAACGAACAAGAAGAAATTGGGGAGGAAGNTACGGATGAAGAACAAGGGAGGGGGCAACAAAGAGAAGAGGGGGTTGATGAAGCAATGAAGAAAGATGAAATTGGTGGGGAAGAAGAAGAATGGGGGGCAGCGAAGAAACAAGAAATTGGGTGGGTGGGGAGAGAGGAAAGGAAGAAAAAAGAAAGTGGAGAGTAAATTAGTCTTTTTCGGTATAATTTATTTGCCAAATAAGGAAACAAGAAGAAACAAGTGGGATGGACCAAAAAGGAGAAGAAAGATATGAGGAGGGACTAGTACATCTTTTCCCTGCACTATATTTCCCATCTACATAGTTGTGAGTGCTGGAGTCATATCTTATATTGCACAGATTCTTCAAGTGCCGTTTCCCATCTCTACTTGGGCACATCTTGATAGCCAAATCCTTTGTAAAATTTGAAAAGATTAGTGCTTCCCCATTCCTGTCCCACTTTGAGAACTTGTCCTCATCTCGGTTCCAGATATAAGACCTATGTCAAATGAGTATGATTTGAATCAGTCATAACCGACACATTTTAATAGTGTAGCATTTCGTATGTCATGATAGTCTTTAACCATTGAGAATCTAATGTTCATTTTCACAACATTTTTTTTGCTATGCCTTACATTGTCTTAGCCGAAGAATTTAGCTGGATATTTTGTATCCCAAGTATCCCACTGAGATTTCGATCAAGAAATGTTGCATACATTAGACTCCTCTCGGGTAAATTTCAGTAATGGTACCTGAACTTTCACTGGAATTTTGAAGTGGTACCTGAACTTTAAATCCTTTCACAAAAGTACCTGAACTTACATAATCCTTTCACTAAAAGTCCATTTACCCGTTTCCACGTTAACTTCCGGTCATTTGGGCTAAATTAGAATTCTATATATTTTAAAATTTTCAATTTGACCCCATTTCTTTTTTTCTTTTCTTTCCCCTCCCACTCCCTTCTTTTTGTTCTTCTTTCACCCCCTTTCTTCTTCTTCTTCTTCTTCTTCTTCTTCTTCTTCTTCTTCTTTCAAGAAGAAGAAATAGAAGGGAGTGGAAGCCCTTCTTCTTCTTTTCCTTCTTGTCTTCTCATGTCTTCTAACCTAGACAGCCCTGTTCAGACCCAAATGGCCGTGGTACCTTTACGAAGTCCACTTGTTGGGGAATACCCAGGAAACAAGAGGATGGAAGCCAAACCTACTACTGGAAGGAGACATGTATTTGTGCAAACTGATTCTGGCTGTGTTCTGGGTATGGAGTTGGATCGCAGTGACAACGCACATACTGTGAAAAGGAGATCGCAGATTGCTCTCAATTTTCCGATTGAGGAGAGTTCCTTGACTTTCGGTGATATGGTCTTGAAGAATGACCTAAGTGCGATTCGGAATGGTTCTCCTCTTCTTCTGACTAGGAACACTTTGTATAGAAGCTCATCAACACCCTGTCTGTCTTTCTCCCACTGGGCCAGCAGAAGGATTGGAGTGGCCCTATTGAGATATTGGGGAAGTGTGGGAGGGGGGAGAAGAAGAAAAAGAAGGGAGTGGGAGGGGGAAGAAGAAGAAAAAAAGAAATGGGGTCAAATTTAAAATTTTAAAATATATAAATTTCTAATTTAGCCCAAATGACCGGAAGTGAACCTGGAAACGGGTAAATGGACTTTTAGTGTTCAGATACTTTTGTGAAAGGATTTAAAGTTCAGGTACCACTTCGAAATTTCAGTGAAAGTTCAGGTACCACTACTAAAATTTACCCGACTCTTCCCAGTCACAAGCTCGTGCATAAAGTCCTCAACACGCCTATCAACACTAGTTTGATGCTTAAATGCCTCAAGCTTCATTAAAACATGGAACACAGAGAAAAAGCTCAATGCACTTCCCTGTAAGTATCAGCTAATATAATCTGGTGTGGTTGTTATACACAGATTGCTATCAGAAGTGTCACATGGATGCTGCAGCAATTCCCAAAGCTTGAAGATTGGTTATCATGAATGATTGTGAAGATTGTAAACACTGAACACAAGGTCTTTGGGAGAGTTGCAGTGATGCTGCTGGACCACAAATTCAAGTTGTAATTTTATTGAAAAGTGCTGAATTGTTTTAAAGTTAACTGAATTCAACTTAGAAGAATGGACTCATAGACATTTTAAATGACATTATTTCAGACAGAATGAAGTATCATTATGTTTTTCTAACTGAAAGAATATTAAAAAAACACTTCTAATGGTTACAAATTTCCTAGTACACAACACTCAATACGGAATCACTTGGCTGACGATCGTTGTTGCATATCATAAATTTCAACACTAATAGACTTGTTACTTTGGATGTGTCACATATAATTGTCCAGGAATGAACAATGAACAACGCAAAAAAAAACTCTTTCTAAATATTACCTTTTGACTCTTATTCATTGGAATTACATAACTAACCATAAAACTTCTCTACATTGAAAAGTTCATGGTAATTTCACATTAGATGAGGTCAAGCTATGTTTGGGAGTAAAATGTTTTAGATAAGCTAGTTTTGGTGTAGACAATTTGACCTTCGTTTCAATAATATGATCATCATTGTGTAACTAAAAGTCTTATACCATTACAAAATTTAGATAAATAGTCTATATAGCGTAGAAGCATCACATGCACACTCGTCTTCAACTTTAAGTTATAGTGATTGTACCATACGGGCTTAGGCCATCCGGTATGGATGCCGAGAGGAGAACGTGAAGGTGCCACATAGGCGCCGGGAAGGAGGGGAACACCGCCCCCTCCTACGGGAAGAAGGGGATTCCCATCCTGCATCAATTTTCTTCTTATCTTTGTTTTTTTTCCGCTGTCCTTACCCCATCACGCCCACACCCTTCTCTTCCCTCCTTCCCTTATCCCTCTCTCCCTTCTACTCTTCCCGCCCCACACCCCACCTTCCCCTTCGTGAACCATACCGTGTAGCTTTATAATAAATGAGTTAGGTTAAGACCGTGTCTTGTGTGACTCGTACCTAGACCTGTTTACAAAGATGGGAACTTGACGCAACTTGTGTACCCAGTGAGTCCATTTTCAATTGCCCTAGACTTGCACGTCCAGACCTATTTACACGACGAGTGTAACGCTACAAAAAGTACTGAAGTACTTTTAAATTGGGCATCTAGTAGTTTTTCTTATGAGCTTAGGCTTTACAAAAAGATATAACCTATGGGTACCCAAAAAATTATACCCCACTTTGTACCCCGAAGACATGCACCAATGTTTTGTGCTAGTGTAATGCTAGTGTAATAGTTTACAATGACACAAAATGTCAGTGCAATTTTTTTTGATTGAATTGGCATTTTGTGCCAGTGTGAACCGTTAGAATGCTGGTGCACCCTTTGGTGTACAATTTGGCGTAGTACACCTCTTGGTGTACCCCTAGCATGGTTGGTACAAAAAACTGAAAAGGCTTGGGGTACCACAAATTATTGTACCCCAAAGTGTACACTGCCCCTCCGACACCCATTTCTTTTCCAGGATCCAAATTGTGATAGAGGAGGGACGGTGTGTACATGGCTCGTGGTACAATTTGGTATACCAGAAGCATAACTTTTAGCTTTATCACACATGACATATTCACATCAATTCAATGCACGGATATACCCTGAGATTTATTGATGATTTAACACAATTTATTTTTAAAAAAGGCCAAAAGAATTGAGGATAGTATTGTATTATTATGCATTGATAGCAGCTTGTAGTTGTTCCAATGTTTTCCCTTTCGTTTCTGGGACTACTTTGATGATGAACAAGATGGCAAGTGCATTCATTACTGCATACAGAGCAAAGGTACCTACAACCATGCAAATTCATATATTTAGTTCACATCCACTGGTGTAATTAATTGATAGTAAAGGAGGAAACTTAATCTAGGAAATTGTGTGGGAGAAGATTAGGGATCTCAATATTCCATTAACATGGATTTTGGATCTTCCAACAATAACAATAATACTTTGTAATATTTTCAGAGAAAGTATTAATCCTAAATTGATATTTAGCTTACTAGTGGTACTTAACTTCTTTATTTCACTCCTGTGTAAATTTAGTTGTCCACTTTCTTGTTTTTGTGCATCCGGAATTAGCTGTCCATTATTTATATATAGTCAACAATGATCTAACCCTTTAGATACCATATTGACATTGTTGACATCAACGAATAATAAACTCATTTATAGTACATCACTACATCTATGATATTTCACTCTAACTCAAGTATGAAGTACATAAGAAATTGGACAACTAAAACCGGATGAGGTGGTATTTTAAGATTATAAACAGGAGGAAATGGGGATTATTTTGACAAGGAAAAACACAGCTATTGGACACACTAATGATCAATATATAATCATTTTGGAGGGCTTCCTTGGAAGGTATTGTTTGTTTCAGTTTCATTCCACTGATAGTAAAAGCATTGGTGTAGCCATAACCTTAAAGAATGCATTTCCAAAAAAAATGATGTGAAAAGCACCCTTCAGTTAACTGCTCACAGCATTTTCTGTTTTGAGACTAATAGTTACCCCTTTTAGAGGAGGAAAGTTGAATGATCATGATTAGGAATAAGTGAATAGCATAGTTATTGGGAAGCCTAATGCTGCTGAGTGCTGAGCAAGTTATCATGCTTGAAATTTCCTAGAAAGCTTTTGTTTGTTCTTTTTATTTTAGTTTACTTCGGCTGTCAATAAAATATTTCTTAGTATATGGTCTTCCTACTCTTCACTCGCTACCACTAATGCTCCGAAGCTCAAGTATTAAGCTTTCAATTTAATATTGTATTGAGAGATTTTGTAGTCACCAAACGAGCTCCATGTCATGAGGAAGTTGAAAGTGTAGGAGCATAGCCATGCACCAAACCAATTTACTAGTGTTGCAAGGCTTCCAGCAGTTCCTTTTATGTTAATAGGAAATATCTGGAACATAAGCAATTCTTGAGTCAGAGGTTTGAATATTACTATACAACTGAATACAAGTTTTTTACTCGGGATGCTTACCTCAGACATCACTACCCATGGGACTGCTCCCATTCCTGCAGAAAATGACCCAATGTACACCTGAAATTCGAGAAACAGTCATTAGATGCTCAACTGTACCTCTAGCTAGCTTCATAGGAAGGAAAGATAATGCTGTATAGAAAATTACGAAGCAGTACCAGTATGCCCGTCACAGCAAGTAATGGTGCTGCGCTAACAGCTATTTCATGTCCCTAGTTTAAAAGAATTGTTTTCACATCATAACCACACCCATCAAATGAGAGAAATGTTTATCAGTATACCATCCTTATGCACACAAAGTTGTACACCACCCTTTTTTTAATACGTATAGAGTTATAGACAACATTTTCTGTTCCTACACATGTCTGATGCATTTTTTTTTGCTTTGGGGTATGGTGGAATAAAGCAAAATGATTCTTTAAATTCTTTGCGCTTCTTTAAATAGTGAAGCAGCAGTTAGTCAATGCAATTTTCGACGCTTATCATGGGCAATCCAGAAACAGCCGCTCTATGTTTAAACATAAGGGTCAGGCTACATACATCTGATCTCCCCCACTACCCTGCAATGGGTGGGACCCATTGAGGCACTGGGTTAATGTTGTTTGTTTGTTTGTATCTATTGCATATGTGATTTCTTTGAGGGGGGGGGGGGCACAGAGAACAAAAGAACCTTGTCTATGAGCGTAAAAAAGGGTGGTGTACACAAAGCACAACCCGATGAATGAAGGGTTTGGATTTGGGAATGCATTATGTTCTGTATTACAGTTCACCTTAAGATAAAATGAGATGCCTGTCAGTGTACAACCAATGACAAGTCCTGTTGCAGACACCTGCAAATGGAAAATGGGTAGCCTTGACTTGCATGAAACACATTGTTCTTAAGGGGATAGCATTTTAATTTGTTCTTAGCTATTGTACCAATAACAGAGGCTTTCTTCCTGCTCGGTCGATTAACGTTGCACCTAATGCGGTGATAATAATCTATCCCAGGAAATAAAAGATATCATGAAAATGGGAAAGATCTCAAACAAATATAGCCCAAGGAATGCTATATATATGTGTGTGTGTCTATATATATATATATATATATATATATATATATATATATATATATAGTAAATTCCATAAAAGGTCCCCAGTTATAGTTTGTTTTACATATTTAGTCCCTACATATCAAATATCAATAATTTAGTCCCCAATTATTATATTGTTTTCCACGAATGGTCCTTTATTCACATTTTTCGTTAAAAACGTGGATAGATTTATAAATTCATGCTCACCTCTCTCCCCAATTAAGCTTCCTCTCTTCTCTCGCACTCCTTTCCCAAACCCGTTACTGAGTTTGAAGCTTTGAACCCAAAATCAAAATCATCCATCCTCTCTTAATTGTTCGTCTTCCTAGTGGAATCCAATATCCAAACTAGTAACCTTCATGGATGCTTTTTAAGTTTTGTTTTCTTTGCAATTTCCTAAGACTAACCCATAAAATTCATCCATGAAGGTTATTGGTTTCAATTTTGGGATCCACCAAGAAGATGAACAATTGAGAGAGAAGTGATCATTTCGGTTTTGGCTTTAGAGCTTCAAACTCAGCAACAGGCTTGAGAATGAGTACGAGAGAAGGGAGTAAGCTTAATTGGAGAGAGAGAGGAGTATGAATATACAATTTTACCCATGTTCTTAACGGAAATGTCAAGAAAGGACTATTTATGGAAAAGTACATAATAATTGGGACTAAATTATTGATATTTGATATGTAGGGACTAAATATGTGAAACGACCTATAACTGGGGACCTTTTATGGAATTTACTCATACATACATATATATATATGTATGTATGTATGTATGTATGTATGTATGTATGTCTGTGTGTGTGTGTGTGTGTATTAGTGTCTGTAGATCTGCGAGAATAAGTCTTTAAACCTGGATTATGGCATAGGTTATAGTTCCTAAATCTGAAGGAAACCCTGGAGACAAAAAGATAAATATGGCAATATCATAACATGTCCCACCGGTAAGGTCAAAGACATTTGAAATTTCTACCTGAGGACTCAAATATGCTGCTAGCGTAGAAAGATACTCCATTAATTCCACCAAATTGTTGGCACACCATTAGTCCGAATCCCACCTGACCATGAACGACCGTAACAGAACGAACGTTGTTGCATGTTAGTTATATAAGCAAATTGAGAGAGCGATCGAGGAAAGGTACAGTGACAGAGCGCAAGTATCTTCTCTCCAACAAATCGAGTAATTTAGCTTTTGGGAGCTTTTCAAGTGTTTCAATGTAATCCTGCATGCCACATAAAGACATAGATAGTGAGAATATATGGAGTGGGAAAAGGTACTTTAGATTTTACAAGTATGGACTTTAGACTTTAGATATAAGTATGGACCATGATTTCAGCTGCCTCTTCAGAAATGTCGGCATGCTTCCCACGAAGTCTTTGTAGCGAATTCTCAAACTCCTTTTGATGCCCAGTTTTTGCCTGCACTGGGAAACATTTGATGTAAAAGTTCTGTGTAGTCTTGCAGCTAAAATTGCTTGCTGCTACGATTTTATACTTCTCACCAGCCATCTAGGAGACTCTGGTATGATAAAGAGGCCCATAACAAGAACCGCACATGGGATTATCCCTGCAGGCGATAATCAGCTGTTATTGCATAATAGGCAGCTAGCTAGCTAGTAACAAGCAATATGATTTAGCTAGAATTTAGATTGGTGCTAATTGCTGAGAAGACAAACCAGTTAGCGCCAATGTCCTCCATGTTAGAACTGTCCCTAAAATGAATGCAACTGATACTCCAGTGCATATCATAAGCTGTAGCATTATTATTAGTATGAATAAATGAACAAATAAGCCAGAGAGGTAAGCAAACCGCTAGTACTTAGTCTTCTCTTCTGGTTGGGTTTACCGTTACAGAGTTAAGATAGATAAATAGCTACTAGATTTACTACAATCCCTATTTTATATGACCTGATTTAAGGTTGTCAATGCTCCTCTTAGATCTTTGGGTGCAATTTCAGCTATAAACACAGGCACCTGCTCATTAATCATGGACAGCAAATGCGTATCATATCATTAGAAAGATTAAGAAGATCAAATGTTAAATTGGTATTATAGACCGTATGTACCACATATGAAAAAACTCCCATCCCATATCCTGTTGCCAACCTTCCGATGTCCATCGGCACAGCCCCCTTTGAACAAATTAGGATTTATATATTGTTTAATCAACTAACCCCTTCTGCTTGTGAACAGAGAATTTAACAAGCCCGAGATTAATGTCAGACCTTGGCAAAGTAAATGGCCAGCCATCCCGCCACACAGAAGGTGCCCGACATCCTCATGGCCTATTTGTTTATTTTTTATAATATACAAAATGGAAGTTATCAGGTAAAATAATGCATGAATTGTATTTGGCGGTTGAGCATATTGAAGAGATGGAGTATATATCTTCCTGTGCTGGCTCACCCCCTTGCGGCCAAAGAAATCAGCAATGGGGCCGCTAGTTATTGCTCCAATCATGGCGCCAAACGTCAAAATGGAGCCAAAGAGTGAGTACTGCATGCACACACACACACAGAAATAAAAACCCTAACATATACTTTGTAGTAGTAGTAGTATCCTGATCTAAAAGCTAAGCCCGAAGGTCAAGTCAGATTCAAGAATGAGCCAGACAACAGACCTCTGCTAGGGATAAATGCAGATCTTCCCTGATGGCACATTGTGTTGGCGACGAGTAGCCTACCTGAAAAACAAGAATAACGCATGCATTATTGATTGTCGTAAGGGAATGAAAGAGTTCAGAGTGTACATGAGAAAGAACTTACGCAAGATCCGAATGAATAAGACCCACAGATGGAAACCATTGTGCACAGGTAAACTACCCATCTATTTTCCTTGCTCTGGATCTTCCTGTCATGTTCTTTATTGCCATCTTCTGTTAAAGTTTTAAGCAGTGGGGCTATTATATCTGCTTCTTCTACCATATTGATGCACTCAACTCTCTCGTCCATGTTCTTGGCCTGTATGTACAAGAATAACTAAGCAGCAGTTTAACTTCAACAAAATTTATATTTGGTTACGTTTGAATATATGGATTGATGAAGTATTTTATGACCCTCAAAACAAAACAAAAAAAGTATCCCAATCATATCCAATTATGTCGGTACAGAGAATTGAAAGATGTCTACTACTCACATGGATAATGGATTCATCCATCCACAATAAATGTTCTCCTTTGCTATTTTAGGCTTTAGCTGATTTTTTTTTTTGGATCATCTGATTTTTATATCTAGAGAGATTGCAATATTGCATTGCCAGTCAATTTGATGCCTTTATCTGACAGATGTTTCGGTGAATTTCTTGGACTTGCCACCAATATTCAAATGATTGGGTAGGGTCACATTTTAATCTTGGTAGGTAGGGGTGTCCATTATTCGGTCCGGACTCGAGCCGACCTGAAAACCGGTCAAAATCGGACCGGACCCGTCTGGACTGGTCCCTTTCCGGTCCGGTCTTCACTCTTTACTTTTTCCTTTTTCGGTGTTCGGTGTGGTTCGTTCCACCGAGTTTCGGTCTAGACTGGTGGACTGGTAAAAATTTATTTATTTAATTTTTTTTAGAACCACAACACATCTTATTAACTCATCGCAACTAGTAGGTTATACAAATCTCAATAATCCTCCCATCTCAAACCTACTTACAGGATAACACACTACTCTTTCTCGCTTACTATTAATGAAACATTGTATATTAAACTTAATATAGGATACACACTCATCCACCGTCACTTCCCTCCTTTGGTGCCATTTTGTATTTCTGGCCTTCCAGATTGTGTAGCAAATTGCCGCCCATGCTGCTATCCAGACTCTTCTCTCCCTTCTAGCCCCATGCTTGCTCAGCTTGTCATAGTAGTTTTCAAGTTTTTTCTTCTACATAAAATTATTTTAACTTTACTACTAAAATTAATTTCAAATGTAATCTTTTTATTTTTTAACATAATTTTTTTAAAAGTCCAATTCAAAATAAGATTTAAGATGTTTTTTAATATGAAAAGTGAAAAGGTAAACAAAACTTTTATATTAGCATCTAATGCATTTCAAACTTATGTACTAATATTCTAATTTAAGTTTGTACTTTATCAATAATGAAACTCTAATAAATGAAATTGAACATTGTAAAAAATCTCTCAAACAAAAATGGTATAACAAAAGTATCTCTTTATCAAAATAAACTGAAAACATAAAAAAAAATGCAATAAGAAGAATACTTGCTATGTAGAACAAAAACTACAAACTATATTTCTATAATACGGATAGAGGATATACTCCCCCGTTCCAATTTATATTGTCTGTTTTTGTTTACGATGTTTGATTGAAATTATTTTTAAATTATTTTATATAAAAAATAGTGTAGAAATAAAAAATAAAAATTACATATTTAAAAATTAAATGAAAAGATCTGTAAAATTAGGGGTGACATGACTTTATTATTTTATCAAATGACTAACGAAAATAGAGAAAAAAAGTGAAAGAAATTTGATCATATGAATAGTAAAGTTTGTTAAAAAAGTAAATACAATGATGTTTGACAATGTTTACTGTATGTTACACACTAAAAATTCATTGTAGTAAAACTTTTGTGTAATTGAATATTTTAAATTAAAAAAAAAATAAATCAAGTTTATTTTTTTAAAAATTAAAAAAATTCACATTTATGCAGTAAGTTCCGGTCTGGTCATGTTTTTATCTGGTCCGGTCCACTACAAGAAAACGCCAAAAGAAGGACAGAATATGGCGACGGAATTCTTTCTGTCGTTAGTAGCGACGGAATTAGCGACAGATTTTGGTTGCCTACCAGACTTAACGACGAAACTTTAAATCCGTCATTAAGTATGTGCGGGAACTAGTGTGCGCCCCTTATAACGATGGAAGTAGTGATGGAAGTATTTCGTCGTTAGTTTGGCGACGGAAATAAACTGTTGCATAAAATCAATTTACTTAAATGCTGTGATTCTAGCTCAACAACGGGAAAATTCCGTCGCTAAATTTCGTCGCCACACGATTCAGATCTTAAAATGCAATTTGTTTTCTCTAAACAGAAACATCGCAAAAGGAACCGAAACAGCACAGAACAGAACCAACATTGCCGTCCACCGCCTGCCGGTCTCCATCTTCAAATCTCAAGTTTTTTTTTGTATTTTTTCACAATTCAAGTTGTAAACAAATTTGACTATATATTATCTTTTTATACTCGAATGCAAAATTATCATTGATTGATGATATAAATAGAGAGTACATTTTTATATGTAAATAATTTGACATTTTGTTCTAAGTTTAAAAGTTATTGAAATTAGGGGTTTTTTCCCCAAAATTTTGTCAATTTGTTTTAAAAACTTAATTATATTCTTGAAAGTTGAAACTTTTAGTGAATGAATATTATGCTTATTAATTGTTTCATAGCATATTTTAGATATTGTAAATGTTATATGAGGATTGTGTACGTATTATGTATGTTGTTGAATATTGTAGTTTTTGCATTTATATTATATTTTTTAGTTTTTTTAATAGATTCTATAACTTAATAGTATGTTAATTTTATTTGATTGAATTTCTCAATTGAGTGACTTTCATGAAAGTCGAGATTGGATGTATAAAAGACTTGATAGTTCAGGTTTTATAAATACAGATTGGGTTGACTAAGTAAGACATTTTTTTGAGTTTTGTGAGTCAAATCCAAAAGTAGACAGATTGAAGAGACAGATGCGTTTTCTTTGTAAGATATGTAAGAATAGATATTTTAAAGATATCGAGGACATTAAGCTTAATGTACCGAGACAAGGTTTCACCCCTAAATATCTCGATTTAGTTTGCCATGGGGAGGAACATGGTAGCTATATGAGTCATCATCGGCACCGCAAATCTGTTCGTACCTTTGTTGAAACTGATAGGGTCGAATACATGAATATGGTGATTGATACTGCGGGGCCTTCCTTTAATCCTTACATTCCAGTTGAGGAGTAACCAAATGCTAATGACAATTTTTTTGACATGCTAAAAGCTGCTGATACCGACTTATGGAAAAGTTGCGCTAAAGTGTCCTAACTCTCGATGTTTGCAAGATTACTCAATATTATGGTAGAGCAATTTATTTGAGAGGTGTTACAACACTATTTGCCAATTGTTCAAAGATGGACTTCCGGAGGACAATTCAAAGGTTTCTAATTTTTATGAGACAAAAAAACTCATTGAAGGTTTAGCACTTCTAGTGGAGAAAATTCACTGATGTGTCCAAGGTTTCATGCTTTTTTGTGTCTTAGATACTGAGCTAACTGCATGTAAAATTTGTGAAAAGCCTCGGTACAAAGACTCTATAACAAGATACCAAATAGATACATGTTCTATTTTTCCCTAACGCTGAGGTTAGAGAGATCGTACATGCCAAAAAGAATAGCGGAGTCTATGTTGGTAAACCACACTTAGATAGGGCACTGGAAAACAAAAATTTAATGTCCAAACATCATTTCCACCCAAAACCTCTTTTGAAGATTATAAGTCATTGTAAGAAAAGTATACATTTCTTGGCGAGCAAGCAACAATATGTATGGTTGAAGGGATTGATCCAAGAGCTAACCACAAAAGTATATGACCTCCAGTTGAAATCCATGAACTACGAAGAACATTCTAGAGAAAAATTATGCTAGTAATTTTTTCCTTAGAATATTTCTAAAATATAAAATATTTGCTGTACAACATTAAGAGAACAAAACAAAATTTTGTCTCTTAAAAGAATAGAAGGTCCAAAATTCTAATATTACAAAAAGGGTGGGATGATCTCCTATTTATAAGGAGCATAATCCTCATTCCTATTCCTAATGGGAATTTACCTTTTAGTATATATATATATATATATATATATATATATATATATATATATATATATATATATATATATATATATATATATATATATATATATATATATATATATATATAATATTTAAAGGCTTTTTATTGAAAAAAAGGAAGAAATGAACATACAAAGGCCAAGGGTGAAAGCTCTAGGTAGCTTTACCCCGGTTGATACAATGCAGACCAAAACTAGTAATAGGATTTAAATAAAGAGTAGTTGTATCTTCATTGTTTGCCCAACACCAGGTTTGTAGGGTCTTGTTAATTTGACAACGAACACTGCTTGGAGAGAAAAGTTTTCCATCATGAATGTACTTGTTATAGGCCTTCCAGAAGTGCCATATTAACAAGCCAGGCAGGATTAGTCTGAGTTTCCCTTTAAGGCAGCTTCGGTTCGAATTAATCCACCAGTTTAGCAAGTGTTGTCTGAGGTTATGAAGTGGTCGTCTAGCAGGTCCATTACTAAGGATAGCATAGTCTCGCCAAATTTCATGGAGCACATGACAGTGAAGTAAACAATGATCGAGAGTGGCAATGTTTCCTAGGCAAAAAGGGCAAGGGGAGGGAGAGATATTCATTTTCATCAATTGTTCGTGGAAAGGAAGAAGACCATTGAATGCTTTCCAGGTGAAAAACTGAAGTTTCCTGATTTGCCACTTGCTCCAAATGAAAGAGCAAGACATGAGCTTAGGACTATTTATAGTGCATGCTCTATAGGCAATATATATATATATATATATATATATATATATATATATATATATATATATAATTACGCATGATGATACTTACGCATTATAATTTTAGAAATAATTTAAAACCAATTGAACTTTAATATAAATGATAATTTCAATTAAATTTCAGAGTAATGTTGAAAACAGTGCGGAAGCTTAAATATAAAACATAATCAAGTCGTATTACATTTTCTGGGAACTCGCCCGAAAAAGTATTTTTTTTAAAATAAAGCATAGTAATTGTAGTCCATCAGTCTGTACATCTCATCACTCTCATTAACCTTCTGGGATGGGCTCCATGATCAGTATTGTTACCTGCGTGTAGCAAGTAAAACAAACTACAATGAGGAATACGCTAATACAACAATTCCATGTTGAATAGCAAGTAGACATACAATTATTCAACTTATGTGTATATTAACTTTATGGATTTGATGTATTTTGATCTCAACATATAGATGACTTATATATATCACATATATATTTTTGGGATGATTTCAATATATGGATTAATATATATGTTCATGTACGTATGTGATGAATGATTCGACAAGTCTAACGCAAAGTTACAGACCTGGAAATCATCGGCCAAAACCTTACGAAAGAATGGGAGTGAAAACAACATCGAATTTTACCAACTTTTTCATTCCCGTCACAATTAGACAGCC